TCGCTGGACTTATTTCAGAAGCTGCCTATCAGGGGCTCCATCTGGGCTCAGGAGAGAGAGAGAACTTGATCTGTCCCCAATGTCAGCTGTGACATCAAGGAGAAAGAGTGGACAGTAGGTGATTTGTGCTAAATGTTTGCTAACTTAGGACTAGATGGATACTCTCCTTTTGGTGGTCCCTGAATCTGAGTCCCAGAGTTATATTTTGGGGTCTGAATTGCCTGTTTGAGAAGCTCAGTTCCTCCGTAAACATCTGAATTCTGTGTAGAGACTTAGCATAAACACCTCTATGACCAGAGATGCATTAGAAGAACTTACAGAACTCAGCATGTAGTTGTACACATGGCTAAGATATACTATACTCATGTAGTAAGGATGGATCCTAAGGAAAAAAGAGATGGAGTCTTGAGGAATTCATGCACACACTTCCCTGTGCTCTCTCCCTGCAGCGAGGGGTCACAGAATGCACAATCTTTCCCCAGCAACCAAAATGCGGCCACACTCAGGGAAGCTGTATGAGACTCAGAGGTCAAACTTTTAATTGGGGCTGGTCACNAAATTCGGCATCTTCCACCGATCCTTCACAAAGTAGATACACACATTTTTGCACACGTTTTGCAGTGTGTATGGACCATTTCATGCGAAAAGTTATTCAACGTTATTTCCCATAAGCCCTTCCACGCAGCAGCGCCGTTTAACATGTGTAAGGCCACCATGTGAAATTACCCACGTGTGCTTAGCAATGGGGCTTCCTTGAATTGCTTCCAGTCACCTGCTGTGATTAAATGAATACAGAAATGTCTTTATGCATCTATTTTCCTTTGAGTCATTTCTTTCGATATAGTCTTTTAAAAGTAGAATTACTCTGTCTAAGAATTTGAAGTTTTGTGTGCTCTGGGAAGACCACCCCATTTTTCATGGACAGCAACGTAAGACGCATTGTCACAGCTGTAATCTTTAGAAGCCTCTCTTGTTCACTGACCTAAAGTCCTCTTGGCCTTCAGCTGGGGCCCCTGGACTCCCTCTGCAGGCTCAGTTCCTAACATTCCTGTTCTGATCAATGATTTCTGCCTTCTTCCCACGACCAAGCCCCAATAGTTCATTTCTCATGATGGGATTGCTGTTGCCCTTTCTATCTGAGCCCCAGTCTTGATCATGTGCCCAGGGCCCAGCAGCTCTGACATTGTGTCCCTCCCTGAAGCTCAACTCAGTATCTGAGGATCTGCTCTCTGCCCCCTCGACCTGCCCAAGAATATGAACTGCTGTAGTTTGGATGTGATTGACACCAACAAAACTCATGTTGAAATCTGATCACCAGTGTGGCAGCGCAGGGAGGTAGGGCCTAGTGGAAGGTGTTTGGGTCCTAGGGGCACATTCCTCATGAATAGATTAATGCTCTCCCTCAGGGGTGAGGGAGTTTCAGCTCTATTAGCTCCCTGGA